AACATTACGAGAATAAAGTCGTAATATTGCGAGAATAAAGTCGTAATATTAGGTCTACGAGAATAAAGTCGTAACATTATAAGAATAAAGTCGTAATATTGCGAGAATAAAGTCGTAAGATTACGAGAATAAAGTCGTAATATTGCGAGAATAAAGTCATAACATTAGGTCTACGAGAATAAAGTCGTAAGATTACGAGAATAAAGTCGTAATATTGCAAGAATAAAGTCGTAATATTAGGTCTACGAGAATAAAGTCGTAACATTATGAGAATAAAGTCGTAATATTGCGAGAATAAAGTCATAATACGAGAATAAAGTCCTAATATTAGGTCTACGAGAATGAAGTCGTAAGATTACGAGAATAAAGTCGTAATATTACGAGAATAAAGTCATAATAATACGAGAATAAAGTCATAATATTGTGAAAATAAAGTCGTAATATTACGAGAATAAAGTTGTAACATTATGAGAATAAAGTCGTAATATTGCGAGAATAAAGTCATAATAATATGAGAATAAAGTCATAATATTTTGAGAATAAAGTCGTAACATTACGAGAATAGTCATAATATTGTGAGAATAGTCGGAACATTAAGAGAATAAAGTCATAATATTGCAAGAATAAAGTCGTAATAATACAAGAATAAACTTTATTTTCGTAATTTCCAAAAAAATAAAAAATAAAATTTTCTTCGTCTGGCCCTAATACTCCGTTGTACTATAATGAATCACTGTGCCATGTTGATCAGAGCATTTTTTATTTTTTCTTCACGAGTCCATTTATTGTATGTACAATATGTAAACACGAACGAGACACAAGCTCAAAACAGACATGCTCACAGGAAATAATATCCAGCCAAAATGCAGTTTCTATTTATGCCTACCAAATTCTTAGACACAGTCTGATCAGGATTTACATCAGCTTTGGATAACTGGTTTTACAGAGACTTTTGCTCAGAGCTGACATTCATATGAAGTAATTTATTTTCAAATAACTTTGTTTAGACACATAGAAATGTAATTTCATTAAACATACTATAAAAACATATAACACTATAAATATTGTTCAGGTATTTCTTACAAAAACTTTGTACAGTTTAAATTTTTTAGTTCTTTTTAATAAATCACAGATATTTTTTTTTATGTAGGTCTGTACAATGTGGAACTACAATACAAAACTGGTATGAGCCAAAAAATGCCACCGCTGGCATGAAGAGGACATAGTTGAAAACATGTTTAAAGTTGCATTACTCAAAATACATCAGTTGACGTGAAGCGACATGGTTTAAAACATATAGATGAAACTTGCATAACTCAAAATACCTCTGATGGCACAATGATAAACGAGTATCAACTGTTGATGGCTGTTTGTTTTTTTGTCTCATTATATGGAGAACAATTAACAAATTAAAAACAACCATGAAGTACTTAAGAGCAGCATTGAAAGTGTTAATGTAGCAAATGTTCAGGAGGTTGATACAATCTTGCTCAGACTTGAAACAAAGTGGTAACAGAGCAATAACAAAAACTACAGTATGAAAACATCCAGACTCACATTTTATTTATCAAGACAGACTACTTTCACATGGTGAATCCACCTGAACACAGATCTGTGGAAACTGAATGAGAGATGAACCAAAGAAAAATATCCACCAAGCAGATGTACAAACGGGAATGGAAAAATCAAAGTGATTTGTCGCAGGGGTGCAGGCCTTCAAGCTTTAAGTTTGACGCGACAATCTCCGCAGCCTTGCAAAATGTGCAAGAGTATCCATTGTGCAGCAGTTAGGTCACAGTAACGCCAGCACTGTCCTTGCTCTTGTCCATATATGTGGGAGAGTTGCTTTTGTCTGATATGGACCCTGCTGCTGAGGAGAGGGTCTGTGTTGCAGGAGAGTGGCCTGATGATTTGACTGAAGGGTCTGAATTGGGCTCTGCTTCTGGCTCCTGCTGTGACGCTGTGGCTGGAAGGAAAAGCAAAATATAAAATGAGAACATGGACACTGTATATATATTTCTTAGTCTGCAGAATTTGCCTCCAAACCCACAGGTTTAGTATGATTAATCACTTGGTTGGATACATTATGTCTTTTAGAGGACCTGACCAACACTAATACTGTAACATAAATACAGTAAGTGTTGAGAAGGAGTTGCCTTAGTTTGAATGTAAAAAAAATGAATGCAGACTCTTTTATCTCAAAGCAATAAATCAAAGCAAAAAATAAATAAATCAGGTCGGATGTGAAACTCATTCACATCAGACCAAAGTGAGAGTGGATAGAGATAATTTCATCTAAAAATAGATCTATAGATAAAAATCTTTAAAAAATATGCTGAAGCCATAGAAAAAACCCGGTCACTAGAGTCCGATGACTTTCATTTGATATAAATCTGGTTAATGTCCCGAGAAGCATCCAATAGCAGATAATGTATTCCTCTACAGTACACAGTAGTCTGATCCGTAGCAGCACAGATTTCCTTATAATTATTTCAACATGTGCTACATGTCAAATAACATTTTAGTTTTGGGTCACAGTACTTTGGGAGTAAATACTGGGTGTTTCATCCACAACAGGAAACAGTGGCAATAAGACACTGAACTGGTGAAGCATTCACAATAAGAAAACACAACCTAAAGACAGCTCTGAGAAAAACAAACAAAAGTGCCCATTAACTACCTTCCTTTCTGCCTATAAATTAGTTTCAAATCACATATAATAAAATACCTAACCATAATGTTTTTGTCTGCTTTCCTATCTGATTATCTTTGGTGGACTACATTAAATTGCCAAACCACTGTGTGACAGTTTTGTGGATCACAGCACCAGACAGAAATCAACAACAGATGTTAGTTACTTTATATTGGACAGACTAGTGTGCCATTAGTGTGTTTGTGTTACCGGACTGTGTGCAGGACTTCATGTGTTCTGGCCAGTGAGCTTGCTGGCAGGGGTAATCACAGTAACTTGTATTCCAGCAGCAGTAGAAGATGGCCTCCTTCCTGCAGTTAGCGCACCACTGTTTCTTTTTGGTCTCGTCCACTGCCTGCTGCTTTTCTGACTCCGTCTGCTTTTTCACCTCAGCCACCAACCGTTCTCGTTCCTGCTCCAGACTCTGCCTCATCTCTGCCATTGTCAGTTCTGCATTTAAGTGCGACAAAATAAAAATGACTTGAAACTCATACCATGCATGAAAAAGAACACCTGCATTTACAAAATACTCATAAAAAGACTGGTTCGGTAGAGGTAGTCAGAGGTGGTGTGGGGACGTTTCTGGAAGCAGGAAACTTACCAAGATTGTGCTTCATCTCTGACAACTCTTGTTGATGCAGCCACTGGAGTTTCTCAATCTCTATCCTTAACCGTCGAATCTATGGCAACAAAATACACAGAGGTTAAAACTTGCCATGTATTACTATGAAACATTAATAAGCATCAGTCTGTATGCCAGAATTTACCTCCGCAATTGTGTTTCCTGAAGTGCTTTTGGAAAGGTCATTGTAGATTTCAGTCATTGTCCCTTTTATTGTGTCCATAATCTGCAAAGTTTTGGCAAAAATGTGATATTAGTGCGCAGTTTGAACTACTTTCATCCTGTAAAAAAGAAAGTGGGGCACTGAAATCGATTAAATTAATTCATTTGAATTTTAAAACAATGCAAAATATGTCATAAAAATTGAGATTTAAACTAGGGATGTTAAAATACAGGTGTTAACTGCTCTGTAAAACAAGCCGCAATCCACACAGAATCATTTCCCCATAATATCCAATATATATGAAAGGCTCCAGCGATAAGATATTACAATGGGGTGACGTTTAGCAATGCCAAAAATATGGTGTCTGCTTTAATTTGTTGTTTGTAAAAAAGGGGTGTTAAAAAAAACTGAGATTTTATTTTTAGGCCATATTACCCAGCCCTAGAACAGAGCAGTAATTCAATTTATATGACTGGCCCTTCTACTGCAGTCCTTTTCTCACTTCACACATTTAATGACAGGGCAGAGGATTCTAACTTACTTTGTTTGTGTACTTGGCTATATCTGCAGCCACGTCTGCTGAGACTGTTGGGATCTGCAAGTCTCCTGACGTGAAAGAAGAGGAGCTACCAGATGAGACCTGGGCAGCTGTTGATGAAGTATTCTGCGGCGGGTCTTTTTGTTGCACTGCAGGGAATAAATGTGAAAAAAAGGGGAAATTAAATATCTTTTAATACACATTTTATCTAGTTGAATGTTTATATATATATATATATATATATATATTATAACGCTGGGGTATATACCCTTGACTGCTTGTCTGGTCTGATAGCGGGTACTTGAGGAGTTGTTCTGCTGTTGTGACTGCAGCTGCTGTGGGCTGCGTGTTTGCCCCTGATTCTGGGCCTGTGTCTGCACTGGCGACTGCTCTCCATGCTGCTGCTGCCTCTGCACTTTCTGCATATGCCACTTCTGAGAGGACGTCTGGAATCTGGTTGGATTCCAGACCACGGCCCGCTGTACAGCCTGAGCTGTCTCTTTTGGCAGCAGGGGGCGCTGTTTCTTTACAGCTGCAGGTACTGGGGATGTTGTGGAGGCTGTGGTGGAGGCAGGAGAGGGGGCACTGGTGGATCCGCTCGTAGCTGTGGTGGTACTTGTCTGACCAGCAGCTGCAGTGGAAACAAGGTTGAGGGCTGCTGTGATGGTAGGTTGTAAAGAGTCTTTCAGGGCAGAGACTGCTTCCCGTGATGCTGCGGCTGCTGCAGCAGATGAAGGCACTTTACCTGGATAGAAAGAAAAGAAAATTGGTCCTTAAGAGAGAGGCATTCTGGATTTGTAAATGGGGCACTTTAAGCCCAAGATTGTTAAAGAATTAGACTTGAAATCATTTTTGTATAGTCTAATGGAGACTAAGATCAATCAAAATCATGATATAACAAAAATATATTTGACTTGAACAAAATATCCTATAAAAACATTGTAAAACATTGCATATTTCCTTTTGTGAAGTGAAACTCACATCTTTGTGCCTTGATACCACAATTTTTCAACTCATTAATTTCAATATTTACATATCTGTATCTCTATTTACTGTCTTACGATATATCTTTACGTTCCTAATGGAGACAATTTGTTCTCCAGGATTTTTTAAGAACAATTGGAAATGTAGTTAAAAGGGGAACTGCACCAGTTTTATAAACCAAAGTCTGGTCACAGTTTTGCCAGTTGTTTCAGGGACTGAAGACTAGCATAACACACCTGAATCGCTGACCAAATTGTTGCCGGTTGAAACACATTCTGGGTAATGTAGGCGACATGTTTTGACAAGGAAGAAGAATTAAAATCTACTTTTATACTTTCCACAGTGAGTTCAATAATTTTGCAAAAGGAGTGCAACGCTACATTGGTGGAGTACTCTTCTTACGATGATGGGTTAATGATGAAAACTTGTGTTTGGTATATTCTGAAAAGAATATGTTTTGTTTTTATGGCAATTTATATTTCTCCTATACGTTTTTGGATCGAATAGTAATGGTATTTTGTATAGCACCTTTGAGAAAAGTATGATTAAGTTTGTACACTTATTACAGACATCACAGTGTGTAATAAATGAACTGTATATAAAAGACTCAGACACCACCCTAAAAGGCAAGATAGCTAAAAATACTTGGTAAATAAATCAGTAGAGAGTTTTATTTTTGCTGCATCTGTATACTTACATTATAACATAAGGATATTATTTCCTATTTGAGACACAAGTCACAAGGAGAATCATAAGGGGAAAAAAAAAAAAAAAAAAATTGTATATAGAGTAAATCAAAGGCCTCACCTTCCAACTTGGCAACATTAGACTCTTTGGGAGTTTTGGCAGCAGAAGCCCCGGGTTCTCTTCTTGCCCTCTTTGAGTCACGGCCTCCGTGTTCATCCCCCAGGTCAATCACCAGCTCTCTTTCAGAATCAGAGTCCTGCTCAGCTACTGATGTGGCAGCAGCTGCTCTGCCCTCCTCTGGGGCTTTGGGCTTGTCAGTAAGGGGCTGAGACTGGGGCGTTCTGGGCTTGTCCTGGAGATCCCTATCTGGGCCATTGCTACCCTGCTTTTCTTTGAGCAGGGGTTCAGGGGTGGCTTTATCCGATGTCCCTGTAACTCCCTCCTTAATCTCTCCGTCCGTGCTCACTTTGGGCCTTTTTCTCTCCGCTTTGTCTTTGTCGTCCTGGGTGGTGCTCTTTGGCTTGTGTTCTTCGTCACTGAGATACTCACTGTCACTTGAGTCAGATTTGTCAGAGTCCTCAGAGTCACTGTGGTCCACACCTTTATACACATCTTCGGAAATCTCATCTATGCCTGTATGGAGAAACATACATTCTTGATTCAATGTTTTTAAAAGAGTTACAATACTTTTTTTCTTTGTTAATAGCCTGACAAACTGTTTCCCACCTACAAGTCAGGAGCCGATATCACGTTTCAGTATTAAAAAATCTCAAAGTCATTTAAAATCAATTTAAATTCTTGCCAACAGAATACACCACACAAAAAAACTTAAATAATTTTGACATTACCGGACAATTTTGTTATTAGAATTAGTATTAATATCTAGTTGAGTTATGTGCCAAAAACAGCACAAAGTGATCGTGTATGTACCGAGCTGTGCCTTGCAGCTTTCAATAGTCTTGTCGAGGCTCCTGATGGGTCTCTTTGGGTTAGTGAGGGCAGCTGACCCTCCCTGTTGTTGCTGATTTTGCTGCTGTTGTTGTTGCACAGTCTCACTCAGCTCCTTCAGATCCATTTCAGCCTTCACTCGATCTGAAAGCAACAGGGAAACGTTTGATTTCAGTACAAATTAAACTTGACGCCACATTCAGCACGATAATGATGATGATATGTTGATTGTTAGCCGTTGTGACAATATCATTACGGTTCATTTGTGCAGTTGGTACTGACCCAGGTTGAGATTGAGGATGCCACCTGTGCCTGCAGTCCTCTCCTGTTTGGGCACCAGTCCAGGGTTAAAGGGCTTCGGGCTGCCTGCTACACTGCCTGCAGGACCCATCTTCCCTGACACAGGAGATGCTATAATTACAAGAAGGGAAAAAGTTATGTAGGCTTTAAACATGCAATAACTGACTTTTTATTGGCAGCTTGTGGGCAATAACATATCATCACATTTGAAGCTGATACGGCAGATAGCTAAACTTACAGTGGCTTATTTGCATTCATCATTCATTTGGAGTCGTGTCTCTGGCCACCTTCAAGTAAAACATTCACTCTTCCTTTAGCTCTGGTTTTGTCTCTACCAACTCTTAAAAGAAATATCAGGCTCAATAGCTGATAAATGCTCCACTATGTTCACCGCTAAGCTGTAACTAATAACTGTGTGTGTCATTTGCTGCCGAACTGGCTGTTGCAGCTGAAACTGACGCTATGAGAGTGAATCAAAACAGTAAAGTTGCCGGCCAGACAGCTAAACAATGAGCTGAAACAGTCATTTGATATGATGTTGTTTATAAAATATCGATTATAGCCACTTGGTAACATTTATTTACCGGTACAGTCCATTGATTCCTCTCCAGTGCTGTAGTGGAAGGCTGGATTCCTGCTGGGCTTTTCCATATCCTGCTCCCCATCAGACCCTGTGTGAACCGAGGAGTTGGTGCTCATGGGAGACCGAGGCATGTCTGTCATGGAGACCCTCCGACTCATGCCACTGGGTGTGGACGTCTTGCTGAGGACCATCTTAGGAGACGCGGTGATATCAAAGTTGAAGCGTAGTTTATCCGGTTTCTCTGTTTTTACTGTCCCAGCACCGGGGTTGGACGGGTCCAGTAGCATCTGTAACTGGTTATTGGGTGTGTAGGGAGTCCGGAAGGGTGCATAGTTGAAGACACCAAATTTCTTGCGAATGTTTTCCACATAGACTTCCATCTCTTGCATGGCACTGTTGAAAATGCTCTTTGTTTTTTTCACAGAAAAGGGGATCTCTTTGGACATGAGGTAGCAGTTGTTGATTGGGACCCAGGCTCTACATAAAAAGGTACAGGGAAAAGCACAAACAACCATTTACCAAATTAGATTAACTAATCATGGCTTAGGTTAGATTCTGTAACCTGAATACCTAAAGCCAATTTCTTCTACAATACTTAAAAGCTTATCTCACCTGTCATGTTGCCCAAAGAACCGTGCGTCTACCTGCCCGTCCTTCTCCCGAAGTGCTTTTGCTGGCCAAAAGGGAAAACCCTTTAGCTTAGCCCAGACCAGGGGGTGAGGTTGACTCTATTAGGGACAAAGCAAAACAACGCAATGCTTCATAGATCTAAAATCTAAACTAAATGTATAAATACAGCTTAAATATAATATTTAAGATTGTATAAAGACCTACACATGGCTCACAAAACCAGTTGTCCCTTTTTTGGCATGAAGACAGGTAGCACTCTGGACACACCTCAATCTCATTCATCTAGAAAAACATTAAATGACGAATGTGATTAATTTATTAAATCAAACACATCTAAGAGATTATTATTATTATTATTAT